AATAGGTCTGCTCTATTCCTTCCTCTGGGCTTCTCCATACGGGCCGCGGTTCTGGGTTCACGACTGAATAGTAAGATAAGAGGTCGTAGTGGAATAATCGGGGGTGGATGGTTCAAGGAGTGGGACTTGATCTCAGCGTCTTCAGATCGTGGGGCTCTTATAGCGATCTTGAGCTGTCCAGCCTCCCATTAAGAAGAGACGGGACGGGCGCCAAAGAGACGGGTTGCGTGCTGCGTGCTGAACGCGGGGCTTTCCAATAGCAGACTGTACGGCCGAATATCGATTCGTGTTTGTAGCTCGCAAAGGAGGTCCACTGCGGATGATTGCTGGCTGAAAGCCGACGACGTCAGGGAAACGTCCGAGTGACCACCGCGTTCCGTGCCGTCTTCCAAAATTGATCCTTCTCCAAAATAACAGAAGCACTTCTATGGTCGCTGAATTGAGTTCGTACCATACCTCATCAGGGCAACTCTAGCCAACTGCCTAACCGACGACGGGACGAAGTCAGGAAAGAGATGGAATCGGGCCATGCCGCAAGCAGCTCTGGTACAATAGAGATTGTTTAGACACAAAATCGGTACCAGTATCAAAGGTAGATTCGTTATTAGGGGATCCGTACGGGAATAGAAGACTGGTGGCATTCGGAGATTTTAGCACGACAATCGAGATGTTTGGATTCGAGAGATGAGAGGATGGAAAAACAAAAACAGACAAGTATCAATACAGTACAACGTTGTGTTGGAAATCACCTCGGGGACGTTTGGTGCAATGGTAGCACGATCGGTTGCAACTCGTAGATCCGGTAGTTCGAATCCCGGAGCGTCCGCTTCTTTCCTTGCATTGAAAATTCCGTCACGTTGGAGGAAGCCAAGTCCAGTGGAATGAGTGCCCAGCGAAAACACGAACAAACACGCATGAAACAAGCGTATACGGGTTGGACTCGATAGCGCGATGATCTAATATGGAGAATGTCGATTTGTGGGAGTAGAGCCGGGTCGTACTGTGCTCCCGCTCCTTGATCGCTTTCGCTCGACCTTCATATCGGGGACTGGCTCAGAAGGATGCATCGCTGCATAGTGACGACGAATGCCACTAACACGGAGTGTAGCATTGCTATCGAGCGATGAATCGCATCACAAGTACGTGAGTACTTTCCAGCAGACTTGGGAAGGCAAATCCTTTGGACTCACCAGTTCTGCATCGGGCACTGATCGCGATTCTTCTGCTTCGAGAGATGATCACGGAGTGCACTGAGTGTAAAGCAGCGGGTGGGGCTATCAACGACTTGCGTCAGCTCATCCTCGTCTTTAAGCCATAAGGGATGACACCTCGCTAATGCAGACAAGAGTTGGGGAGACCCAGAGAGGGCGATATATGGATATACTCACTTTGACATAGCACACGCGCTACAGCCGTCAGCTGCGCCCTTACAGGCAAACGGTCGATGGCAAAGGTGCATACGCACGCAACCCAGGGCTCGCTCGAGCGTCCCATGAGATTTACCGCAAACGAGGCATTTATTCGGCTCACGGTCTAGGAATAAAGCAAAGATGGACGCCTTTTTCGGCGCCTCACACGCCAATCCAGGCGTTCCGGCTGCGGACAAGATGGCATGCGCCTCTGCTGTATCTAGATTGGGTTCGAGAGCTTGGTTGCGGTAGAATGGAAACCTTGGGATCGTCTCGAAGAGGGCGCGTCGTTGCAGGTCTGGATACGAAGAGCCTTCTGTGAACGCTGTAGAGAGCAACGATTCGTCGACGAGGTTTCGTTCCCCCCGCTTCTTGCGATGAATTAACGAGAGAAAATCATGAGTGGTGGAATGAGTCGGAAGAACAGAGATTATAGGGGTTGGTCTCTCTGATAAGAGCGATGGCTGCTGCGACCAGACCGTCGTCGAGCGATTCTCTGAACGTTCAAGAGACGGAGGGAGTTGTACCCCGGAAGGGAGGATATGTGTGGGCCGATGGGAAACATGGCTCGCATCTGCCACGAAACGATTGGTGCCAGTATTGATATGGCCCGGATTTATAGTAGACGGGATCTGACCAGCGAAAGTCCCGTAAGCGGCATCCATGAATCCGACGGATGTACTCGCGTAAGGGTCATAGGGAGGGAAAAGCTCCTCGATCGATTGCGAGAAAGACGAAGTGACCCCAAAGTAGTCAGGAGAGCCGCTCTGAGTGGCGAAGGGTGGAATTGAGCCACCCTGAATTACCGGCGAAGAAACGCCGGCAGGAGACCCAGTCGAAGCTCCCCCGTCGGAATCGAGACCTGCAAGTAACCTGGAAGAACTTGAGTTTGAGATGAATGTTCGACTACGCGGGACAGACAGCACGTACCCAGACAGAAAAGATAAGTCGGATGGAACAGTGCGTGAGAAGTCACTATCCATGGCATCGGTCAGTGGGGGAGCGGCCGTCTGAGTGAAGACATCATGGCCCTCCGTCCAATACTGCGGCATGGTATCATGGTTGGAATAAGTCGATGTAGGAATGGTGGAGTTAGGCATATTCAGTCAGAGGCTTAGCTATTTGTTAGGAGGGACCGGGGCTGTAGAAGTGATATGGTGAGATCCCTTTCCATAATAAAGCCTCTCAACGAATGCATAATCCATGAGTTACCAACCCCATATATGGATATAGAGGCTGAGAGGCTGAGAGGCGGTCGGAGGCTGTGACACGTGTTCGTCGCTTGGAGATTGAAAGAGAATACAGCTGGTATTGAACAATTTTATCAATACAGTACAAGAGTGGACGATCCCTGGTTGGGAAAGGCAAGCGACACTGGTCGACTTTGGACATCGTAGTGCAGGATGAGGGAGAGTTTTCAAGGACGCAAAGTGGGAGATGCAAGTGGAAAGGGGCGGATAGAGGCGTTAGAGAGCCTTCAGCGTCGTTGTCTACTCACGGTGATATGGGTTGGTGGGTGGGTTGTTTAGAGGGGTGCAGACAGGTACTTAGACAGAAGAGCGGCGGTTTAAATAATCGAACTATCTGCGGTGGCTATGTTGAGCTGGTTGCCGGCTAACCGTCAGGAACCTACGCGAGTTGGATTGAAATAAGAGGCGTGCTGGATGCGGAAAAGAGGCGAAGAGGCTGTATGAAGGGGCGGAAAGGAGAAGGCGAATAGAGATGAGGCTGTAGAACGAGGCGGATGTTGACGTGTCAGGAGGCTGTAAGAGAAGTCGGTATCGAGCCTGTATCCACGTGCCGCCTACCATCACTTAGTAGCGTAGATGATCTGATGTTGTTGAATACCGAATCTTCAGGGTCGACTGTGCCGGAAATCGAAACCTAACCAGGCCTCGAAGGAGAATGGAAGTAACCAGCCCACTCATCGGATTAGGTTCTAAGATCTATCTACCTCATCACCCTCATCCTACAGCAAGTAGAATCAGATGCGAGTTGCAGAGTGACACGTATTTTGTTAAAAAAAATGTCAACGGACGCCGGGTGTGGTGGTCAGGTGCAACTCTGTTCACAACCTCGCCCATCGAAATCTCAATCATGGTCATCAACAGAGAAAAAAAAGATTGCCAATAAACTATTCATTGCATCGGGATAAACGAATAATTACCTTTTTGGCCTCCTCGGTGCATATAGATTACACGGGGGAATTAGGGGCTGGAGTAGAACGTGAGCCTGTTTCAATCGCGCGTACTCTATTCGACTGTACGTACTCGTGGATCAGATACACCCCAAACTTAACGCATATTTGCCTGCTGCGAACAAGTCATAGGCAGGTCGATGACTATGGGCTCGTATTGAAATTCAGATATAACATCGCTCTCATTCTGTCGTCTTTCTCACGGGAGATCGGTGAGTGGTGAATGGTCATTGCAAACGGCTCGATTAGTACAGGGACAACGTGAACGCCTGAGCGAGCGTGTACATACGGCCGACAGGGCTGGATAGCCGTACCTTATCAGACGCATATACACTCAGCCAAAATAAAACCAAGTAATTCGAGTCCACAGGAGAGAAAAAAAGGGTTGCTTGGTGAACCACGACTCAAGATTGTACAAACCGTTCCTCGAAAACGACGCACCCGCTGATCATTACATCCTATTCCCAATTCAGAGTGGACTTTTGCAGTTCCCCGCCTTGATTCCTCATATGCCACCTGTTCGCTTCCTTCATTGTCCGCTCATTTTCCTCGCGCACCTCGCCATTCTCCTAGCTAAATAACCCGGCTCGAATTGGCCCATTATAGTTCTTCAGTATAGTCTACATATAAAACAGAGATATTGATTGTTGATATACGATTCTATCACTACACTAGGTGGATCCGTGCACTACGTTTCATCGTGAAAGAAGTAATAGGGGATAGTATATGGTCAGAATGTAACCCGGAAGAAACATCCGTGAGTAAGTTGTCCTATGCAGATAACAATGAGTGCACTGCAGGCGTTCATGTTGTCGGCAAATGCGTCGTAATAGAGAGGGAAGGAAGGGGGGGGGGGATTAAAAGAAAAGAAGGAAAAGAAGGAAAGGGAAAATACGGATGTCAGGGGAAACGTGCGAATGGGAGGTAGAGAGCATAAGGAAGGGTCAGTACGGGGATGATGCCGCACTGCGTTGCTTCCTCTCCTCCTTCATGTTCGGTACCTCGTCGTCGGGGTGTCTTGATGCGTAGTGCCGCGCCATACCACCGATACGGATATGAGAGAGACTGTCCAACACGAAAAATTGTGCCCAAACGTGAGCGACAATCAGCCAATTGCATGGCGAGGCGTAAAAGCGCTGACTCACCACTTTGGGCATTCGTCCAGATTGGTTTGTTTGGAAAGATGGTCACGAAGACCACACTGAGTGGAAAAACGAGCAGGCCTACCGAGTAATCATTAAAAAAACGTCAAATAAATGTCCACGACAGGGGTTTAGGGAGGAAGACGCTATGAGAGGGACGGAAGGCTCACTCAGACTTCGCACACGTGTTGCATCCTGTGCATGCAAAGGGACGGTGGTTTAAATGGCCACGAACGCAGCCAAGGGCCCTGCCCAAGGCACTGTGCGGCTTATTGCAAACGAGGCAGGTCTTCGATTGACGATCGATAAATAAGCTAAAGAGAGATGCCTTCCCGGGCGCATCGTTGGCGAGTTCAGATGTTCTCGCCTGCGTCAAAAGCTGGGATGCCTCTGGTGAACACAACCGAGGTTCGAGCGTCTGATCACGGTAGAATTGCGACTGCGGGATGACCTCAAAGAGACGGCGTAGCTGATCATTGGGATACGGAGAGTTCTTCTCGAACGCGTGAGTAAGGGTGCTTTCGTCGACTATGATTCGCTCGCGCCGTTTCTTGGGATGGATCCGTGAGAGCATATCAGAATTCAAGGTAGGCGACGGAGAGGAACCGGTCACGAGAGACTGGTAGTCTGACGAAAAGATGACATCCAGCGGATCAGAGAGCAAGGCTGAGGGCGACGGGTCGGAAATACAGTCGAAAATTGCTGAAACGTCATTGCCGGGATCTGGAGATATTGTAACTAGCGAGAAATGAGAAATTATGAAGATTCAAGATACCTAATGACCCAGCCTGAGGCGCGCTCGTGAGAGAGTGATCAAGTGGGAAAGAGGCCTCAAGCATCCCCAGCACCTGAGCCATAGTAAAGTCACAATCGCGGTATATCGGTGCGGTATCTACGCAGATGAATGAGTACACAAGCTTTCCGCATGACCGCCGGACAAAGCTACTACACACCAGCTTGGGTCATCAATGAATTATTGTTTAAAGATAAAGAGTTAGAGTATATTGGGAGTAATGAACCAGGAGAAGCGAAGTTCCCTGTGGTTGGAAGCAGGCTCGCTTGCTGGGTCGAGAAATGG